AACCCCAATCCTGTAGAGTTGTAGGAACAATGTGTTTAAATTTACTTAATCCAGGTGTTTAGCCCAGGGGTTGGGGTGAAAGCAGCTCCCTGCAGTGTGGCAGCTGTGGGGAGTGCCCCAGCCAGGCCAGACCCAAAGCTGGGAATTCAGGCAAAAATCACTGCTGAAAGGTGGTGGTGAGTCCTAGGTTTGGGCAGCGCACCAAGTGGTGCCAGGATCTACTTGCTGGCCACCCGGTGGTTGAGCTCTGGGGTTTTTAGGATATGTAACTGCTGCCTAGGGACATCCATGGATAAGGCAGTTTTAGTAGGTGAGAGATGAATTCTGGGTGACTCAGAGTAATGGGGTCACAGAACGTTCTGGCAAGCATGGGGGTTTGCAGGGCAGAGTCCCTAAGTTCTATTTGGGCCAGACTGATTCACCAGCAAAAAAGGGAATTCTGAGATGAGCTGTTGGCATACTGCATCACTCACTGCCACACACCAGTCCACACCAATGCTCTGAATGGGGGCCTGTCTGGCAAGGCTAGGGACCAGTAGCTGAGTGGTGCAGCAGTGCACAGGTCACACTTGGCAGGGTTAAGAGATTAACCAGCATGTGAGAGAACCAGGTCTAGGGGTAGATTCTGTGGGGGAAGTGTGGGTCCAACCCTGTGGAAATACAAGTCCTGTTAGCTTGCGAGCTGGGGTGGTGATGGGCTGAGCTAGGTGTGACCAAGGAACCAGCCATCATTTACAGGTAAAGAAACCAACAACAGTCTGGGCAGGTCAAGGCAGCAGCACACGAATGTGCATCCAAAACCAGGATGTGGGGTGGGCCAAGCTGCAACTGGAAGGGGACAAACTGGGTAGCACCAAACAAACCTTAAATCACAAGAAAGAACAGAAATCAGGATGGAGTGTTGTGCCGGTTTTTGAAATCCCCAGATAATCATCAAGTCTGAAGTCGGTGCTAAGGCAAAAAGGTGGTTTATTCAGGTTAGCCTAGGTCTCCCAGCCAGCTCCCCCAGCCCAGCATGGCTGGCCGGGGGAGGCGCAGCCGCAGCCAAGGCTGCTAGGATCCACCAGGGAGGACAAAAGCGCGCGAGCAAAAGCGCAAGAGAGCCCAAGCCCCCCAGTTCTTATACATTTCGGGCTATTAATTATACAGTCATGATTTAGCAGGCTTCTATTGGTGGGTTTGAAACAAGCAACTTTCAAAAAGTACAAATTGATAAGCTATTGGGCTGTGAATCTTATCAAACACCAGGTACCTCCTTCCTGAGGAGTGGTCTGCCTATGTGACCTGCCAGGTAGACTATCAGGCCTGAAGTTCACACAGCCTCCAGCCAAGCCATTAAGGCGGAATCACAAAAGGCAGAAAACGCCTAGGTTCTTCAGAGCACAGGTCATGCTGAGCTAGATTTTTACATGAGCCAGGGATACTAGGCCATAGTACCTAAGGCAAAGGCTGAGACAGGTGAGGGGCTAAGCCAACTGGGTCAGAGCAACCACTGGCACATGTATAATGTAGGGCTGGGAACAGGCTTGACTGGGGAGTTGTGAGAGTACACCCTTGCTGGATTGGAGTTCCCATGACAGAGTGCGGGCGCCATCTCTCTTGGCACAAATGTGAACTGAGGGTAGGAATTCACACTTGTGAACTATACCTCGCCAGGCTAGGTGCAAGCATCATTTAGTGCTCTAGAGAACCTGGGTAGATGTAGGATGGACTAGGCTAGGTCTCTGCCCCTATTGAGCCATGTGTGAGCAGTGTCTGGGTATGGACAAGCCTTGGCTGGGCTGAAACATCTAACAGTAACAACCAGAATGGAATGAAGGCCAGCAAGGAAAGGCCAATGTTCGCCCAGGACAGAAGGTGGAGTAAGTAGGGCTGACCCATGGACCCACCAGTATGTGCAAGATCTGGCATAGGGAGAGGTTCTGATGGAGGAGCTTGGAAAACTCCTCTGTCAGGACACAGTTCCCTACAGGTGAGTGTAAGAACCATGATAGGGAGCAGCCCAGACCTGGCCAGGCCAGAGAAATATACCCATTGGCATACATTTGGCATAGGTCGGGGGCAGACCAGGCTGAACCAGTTCACATCACTTGCTGGTGAATCCGAGCACCAGAATAGAGTGTGGGTCAGGCCAGGTTCAGTCATGACACAAACCAGTGCACATTACAGAATGCCAAGGTGAGGTGACTCGTATCAGATGTGGCTGCAGCGCCCAAACAGCACACGGGATAACCAGGGAGGGAGGGGGCAAAACTGGAGAATGTGGGCTCCCCTGCTGGACAACCACTCCAACTGGAGAGTGTGAGCTGCGATGGGGACAGACCAGACCAGGTAGGGTTACAACACCTGTGCGCCTCATGTGAGGTAGACCAGGCAAACGCCAGGTTGGGCTGACTGGTCCTACTGGTATAAGCACAAATTAGAGTGGGTGAGGGTTGGTTGGGCTTTACCACAGCATCAGCTGACAGGCTGGCACTGGGGACTAAATCTGTCAAGTTAAACTGCAGAACCACCTGGAGAGTGCATGATCCAGGAGTGAGATTGGCCTAGTAGGGAAATAGTGGGCACCTCCCTCTTGTATTACTTCTCACACTGAAGAACATGACAACCAGGACAGGGGCAGGGTGGCTAGACAGAATGGCACCCGCCAGTAAGTGTGTGGGCTGGATAGTGGGGCTGGTTGGGTTGAACTAGGTTTCATTGCCCATTGACATATACGAGAGCTAAATGGGATGTGGGACAGACTGAAGAAGTCTATGGTATATAGTGGCAAGCATGGGAACCAGGGTAGGGAGCAGGCCTGGTGGGGTTTATGAGGAGTCGCCCCAACTAGGTTGCAGCTCCCACTCCTTTGTGCGAGGGTGAGTATGAAGTGGGCAGGATCAGGCTGGACTACAACACCCACTGATTTGCATGGAAGAGAGGGCTGGAAACAGAACTGACCCAGCAATTGCTACAACCAGCATGTGCATAAGCTGATTGGGGCAATGGACTGTGTCAGACCCTCTACTGGCAAACACACACAAGAATAGGTCTGGGATCACCTCAGATGAAGTTTCTTTGGAGATCCCTCCAATTGAACTGCTGATCTCAGAACCCCAACCATGAAGAGACTATATCAGCCAGTGGATTCTGAAGAATGTTCATTGTACTTGGAGCAGTGAGATTGGCAGCAATTTAGAACTGTTGAACTATTAAAACTACTTGAGTAGGACTTTCAGAACATGCCCCACGTTGGGTACCTGGGATGGGTGGGAGGCTGGGTGGGGCTTCTCCTTTTGTTTCTCCCCTGAACCCAGACACAGGGAAACAAAAAACATGATATTAGTGTGGAAACAATGGTCTTACCCACTTTCCTGTAGCCCTTGAGCCTTTGTACCCTAATCAACTATGTAAAATTACCAGAAAAATAATAATAAAGAAAAAAAGGTAAAAAGCAAAAAAGTAAACAAAAAATTTACTTAATGCAGCCCTGTACAAAGTAACCCAGCCCTAACAACTTAACTGCTTTCTCAGCATATATTGTTAGAAGGCAATGCTTTAAGAAACCACACCCTATGCCATACTTGGCATGACCATTGTGGACTTGAAACTTGATATGCTTACTAGGAAAATTATACTTTTGAGGTTAGGATGATGCAAAGCAAAGTAGATATTTTGACATATTTACCACTGCTATTTAAGGACAAATGGCATACATATAAATGAAAACCTTTTGTTAATAAATGAGTATGAGATTTTAACAATCAGTCTAGAATTTATTAATTTAATTGTAGTGTGGATTTTTCTTTTAAACATTTTATTTCTGAGCCCAGTGTGGTAGCCTAGTGGTTAAAGTCCCCACTTTACACACACCAGGATCCCATATGAACGCTGGTTCTAATTCTAGCAGGCCCGCTTCCCATCCCGCTTCCTGCTTGTGGCCCTGGAAAGCAGTCGAGTTCGGTCCAAAGTCTTGGGACTCTACACCCATGTAGGAGACCCAGAAGAAGCTCCTGCCTCCTGGCTTCATATGAGCAATGCTCCAGCCATTGCGGTCACTTGGGGGGGTGGGTGGGTAGTGAATCAGTGGACAGAAGATCTTCCTCTCACTCTCTCTCTCCTCTCTTCTTTGTATATGACTTTCTAATAAAAATAAATAAATTTTATAAAAAGGTTTGTTTTCTTGATAGGCGTAGGAAAACATATACTAACATGGAGTCTAGGGCTTTAAATTGGAGTTGTTTCTTCCAAGGTAGTTGGAATGCCTCCCTACTTTTCAGAAACAAAAAGGTAAAATTTAAAATATCAGACTTCCTATTTCATATTAAATTCAAATACAACATACTTCTTTTCAAGCAGCACAAATGTTAAGTTTTCAAATGAACTCAATTTGAGTGCTAGCAGATGAGTAAAACCTGACTTTAAGCTCAGGTGTGGTCCATCTACTCTGTCTCCCCCTCACTGCTACCTTTTTGGAGATGAAATGTTACACCGTTTACAAACAGGCTGCTTTGAATCTGTTTTTCCTGCAAACAGTTTTGTAATTTTACATGACACCTGTTTTTAGGCACACTCCACCAGCTAGTTCAGATGAAAAGTACAAGTTCCTTCAGGTGTAAGTGGCACAGAGGCAGACTGCGTTGGATAGAGGGACAGCTTTCTACATAGGGAAAGATGTGGCCTCTCTGTGGTTCAACCAATGTTTTAAAACTCTAGCTTTGTATAACGAATATTACGAATTTTTAGGCAAACGTCGTAAAGTCTATGTCTAACAGCTTGGAATCCAGAACTTGCAAGCTGAGACCAGAGCGGTGCCTTCCAGGGGTGAAACAGGAATGTTCTGGCATCCAGAAAAGTCTTCATCGGGATGCAAAATCCAGCACCCCAACAAACCGCACCCAAGCACCTCTCACAGCTTCAAGGGCCGCCTCCATAGCCCTCCGCAGCGCTCTCTGCCCCCCACTTCCGCTTCCGGGGAGAGCCCGCTCACGGTCGGGGTGAGCGTGAAAGAGGAGCGGAAGTGGCCTGGACACTTCCGGTAGGGAAACTCCTGGCTGCCGCTCGGGACACAGCTTGACAGGCGCGGTCGGTGCAAGTAGCTCTCTCTGCCTTGGCTCTGTCCTCTTGCCCCGGTTTTGGAATTCATTCCTGCCCGCCTCGTCCCGCAGTTTCTGCTTCCGAAGCCGCCCCTTCCCCATGTGCCAGGGCAGGAGTCCTGACAGCCAAGACCCGCCCGCCTGTCCTCGGTCATGTCCGAACTGACGAAGGAGCTGATGGAACTGGTGTGGGGCACCAAGAGCAGCCCCGGGCTCTCCGACACCATCTTCTGCCGCTGGACGCAAGGTAGCGGGGCGGGACCCGCGCGCCTGGCCGCCCCGCGCTGGCCCGGGCGCTCCCGGAGCGTTCCGTCCGCCCGAGAGGGCGCCGGGGGAGCTGGGCTCTGGGTCCCCGGGAAGGTGGTCGCCTCGGGGAGCGGGGTGTCTGTCGGCGGAGCCCGGGAAATTCCGGAGGTTCTTTCTAGAAAGCTGCTGCGGCGTTGGTGTTGTCCTCCTGTGTGCGGTTGCGGGGTGGGCTCGGTAGCCAGGTGTTCCGCGGTCCCAGGCATCCCTGTCATGGGGACGCTGCAAAATGGCTCTGTGAGTCCCATCGCTTCCTGGGCGGCTCTCACCACTTGGATCACAAGTTTTCTTCCGAAGACCATTCATCACCTAGCTCGCTGGCGAATCCTCGCGCCCGCTGTTCCAGACGCCTTCTAGGAGGAATGATCCCTGGTGCTTTACATTCCGAGGTTAAACCTGCCTCTCATCTAACTGCAGGTGACCGCAGATGAGGAGCAGCTGAGGAAAGGTTCAGGAATGCCTGCTCGGAAAGCACTATTTTATAAACAATTATATAGAAAATGCCTACTAAGGGGAGCAGGGGAGGTGTGATCATAGTACATATAAATCTCTAGTTCAAAATGTGTGTTATATAGCAAACATTCAGAAGTATTTTGAAAAAAAAATCCCTCCTCTTTCCCAGATAGGTCTGTTTTAACAGCTGGTAAAAAATCTTGGCTTGTCTGACCCACCCTGTTTATCTGCCAGGTGAGAAGAAAGAGTGGAAAGGTTAAATGACAGGCCAGACTCAGAGAGATACAACTGTCAATGAATTCCAAGGCCTCCATGTTTAAGCACTGCATGTAGTTAGTTTGGCTCTTTCACACATTAAAGCAGTTAATTGATTTTTCTGAAATCTTGAAAACCTGCCTTTGCAGATTTTTTTTTTAAACTTACCTCCTATTTATGCTAATCATGAATAGTTATTGAAAAATTTACTTCCTTTGTAGTCGGTCAATATTAAGGCTAGTCAGCCTTGACTGTATTTGTACTGTGGGCGGCTTCAAGGACAAATCAGGGAGGCATTCATTTGTCAAGGTGATCCCAGGTGCCCTTGTCTGTAACAGATAGTGTCAGACTTCTAAGGTTGTTGTGAGGATTGAAGAACCCATAAATACATTCAGGTGCTTAGCCCGGTACCTGGCATACAGTACACACTCTGTAAATGGTAGCTGTTCTATCAGTTTCTATAGCTTTTAATGGAGGACTAAACCAAGGATCACTCTGGCTTTGCCTTGACAATTACAAGGAATTATTATTGTTTGGTAACATTCTAAATAGAACTTTATCATGGCACTTTAGAATGCTTTAGTACCTTTTAGTCTTACAGAAATTCTCCCTCCCTCCAAATTCAATTTAATCAATACTGTTTCAAAAGGAAAGATTCCTTTTTGTTCTGTAAAAGAGTACAGTCGTAGGTTAATATGGACATTTATTAAATTTTAAGCCAACCTTGTAATTTTTAAGTAATCACATCTGAATGAATGGGGTCCAGTTACTGGTATTGGTATGTTCATAGGTATTTGCATTCACTCAATCTCAGAAGGCTTTGCTTGTTATCACTGTGGCAGTCCTTAGGAATTTCAGAAATATGCACAAGACCTTGCTTTGCTTCATTATAAATGTACCATCAACTCTGGCGTTCTTTTTTAAGATTTATTTTTTATTTGAAAGAGTTATCAGAGAAGAGAGATTAATATTCCTTCCACTGGGTCCACTCCCCAGATAGCTGCAGTGGCTGCCCAGAGCTGGACAGGCCAGGAACCCAGGAGCTGCTTCTGGGTCTCCCACATGGTTGCAGAGCTGAGCTGGTCAAAAGCCAGAAACAAGGAGCTTATTCACAGTCTCCGATGTAGATGCAGGGGCCAAAGGATTTGGGACATCTTCCACTGGTTTCCCAGGCACATTAGCAAGTGGAAGCAGAGCAACTGGGATTAGAACTGGTGCCCATATGGGATGCTGGCACTGCAGGCAGAGGCTTAAGCTACTGTGCCACAGTGCCAGTTTCTCCCTGGATATTGTTTTTTAATTTGCAAATTTAATCCCTATAGCTTTCTGCTTTTGTGTGCTCAATTACCTGTAGTCTTTTTTAATTTAAAAAAATGTATATTTTTTTTATTTCATTAGCATCTCTTACTCTTCTGCTTTTGTTCCAGTTACTTCCTATTGAGACTAGGTGGAATAGGAGTGAGGACAATCAGCATAACATAGCATTCGTTAACCATCTCTAGTAGTTCCAAGCTGAGGGAATAGGGAGTTCTGCATGGGATACTCTAGATAGGCCTAGTTTCAACAATAAATTTCAGCAAACACTTAGACTAACTGAGTTGGTCATGGAAATGTCTGAAGAATGTTCCAGATGGAGAATAGCCATAATAAAAGACTTAACAAAAAATATTCCAGGGCTGGTGTTCAAGGTTAGTGTGGTTGGCGAAGGAATGAAGGGGGTTGGGGATAGAGAGTAACAGGAAGTGAAGTAAGAGATAATGTGGTCCAGATCAAGTAAGACTGTCTAAAAGTCATTGCGAAGACTTTGGGCAAGGAAAAGACAGGATCTGAGTTTCTAAAGGCTTGATTTGGCTACCATGGATACAGTTTGACTACTGAGAATACAATATAGTGGATCGAGTTAGACCACAGCATCAAAGTGGCCAGTTGCAGCGATCCAGGGACAAGATGGTGGCTTGGACCAGGAGAGTGGGGGTGATGGTGGAAAGTGGTCAGACTGACCATGTAGATTAATTTTTAAATAAAGCATTTGACTTCTGAGAATTTGTTTTCTCTATTGATTGTCTGGCTTAGTGTTTGGCTGTCTGGAAACCATCCAGTGGCTTCTATTTCAATCCTAATTATGCTGTTGCAGCAAAAGCGTGGGTGTGGCTATATTGCAAAACTACTACTTGTATAAAAGTAGATGGAGGCTGTATTTTGCCAACCTCTGACAGACTATAAACACTTAGAAACCATTTTCCCTTTCCTCCAGGTTTTAAGTTATTTTTGTTTCACCTACAAATTGATCAGCCTAATTTTGCTACTTTTGGCAGTTCAGTGTTTTGAAGGACTAGGGCTGTAGGTCCATTGGCTTTGGTGGTTCCAGTTATGGATAGCTTTTGTTATATAAAACAATGAGATTGAACAAATGACTTAAGGACAGTGAAAGATCAGTTTAGGCAAAGAATAATACGTATTCATTTGGGTTTAAAAATTTGAAGTATGTTTGAACATTTATTGAAAGGAGCAGACTTAACATTATATTGAAGTTATAAACTATATACCAGTAAGTTTTTTTTTTCCTCTAATGCTGTGAATTTCATTATTTCAAAGGTGTCATTGTTCTTGGAAGCTTGTATTTCTTTTAAAATAGTTTTTTTTTTTAATATCTAACATACCTAAGGCGTAATTGACGTAAATACTGTTTTTTAAAATTCAAAATTTGTAAGCATATCTGACAGTTAATTCCATAGTAGTTTCTTTTTTTTTTTTAAGATTTATTTATTTATTGGAAAGTCAGGTATACAGAGAGGAGGAGAGACAGAGAAGAAGATCTTCTGTCTGATGATTCACTCCCCAAGTGAGTGCAATGGCAGATGCTATACCGATCTGAAGCCAGGATCCAGGAACTTCTTCCAGGAGCAGGGTCCCAAGGCTTTGGGCCATCTTTGACTGCTTTCCTAGGCCACAAGCAAGGAGCTGGATGGGAAGTGGAGCTGCTGGGACAGAAACTGGCTCCCATATGGGATCCTGGAGCATGCAAGGAGAGGATTTAGCCACTGGGGTATCATGCCGCTAGGCCATGCCGCCGGACCCAATAAATTAGAATTTTAAAATATATATATGTGCTGAAACCAGATGTAAGGTAGAAAAATACATGTACCATGTATTGTTTACAATTAATGAGCTTATTCATTTTAAAAACATATTTATTTTTATTAGAAAGTCAGAAATACAGAGAGGAAAGAGAGGAAGATCTTCCATCCATTCATTCACACCCCAAGTTGCCTCAATAGCCAGAGCTGAGCCGATCTGAAGCCAGGAGCCAGAAGTCTCTGGTTTCTCACATGGGTGCAGGGTCGTAAGGCTCTGGGCTTTCTACTATTTTCCTGGGCCACAAGGAGGCAGCTGGATGGAAAGTTTCAAAGACTTTTTGTTTGAAGATTTTAATGTGTCATATGTTACATTTTATTATGCTTTACAGTTTTCAAAAATCTTATATAAACATTCATGCAAGCTAGCAAAGGACAAATATAGTCATCCTCATTTTTATGAACGAAGGCTTGGTTCATATTATTTGCCTCAGTTGAGATCACATAACTTGTAATAGTCAAATCAGGTCTTCCTATGGGCTTGTGTTTACATAGGAGACCAGAATCACGTAGGCTATACTTGTCAGACTGGTTTCAATAATATCTATATGTATGATAAGCCATGAAAATAAAACTGATTTAAATAGTATATATGTATAATAGGTCATATGGAAAATTGCAAAGAGAGTCATGGCTTATGCTTAATTGCGCTTTAAAGTGTCAAGTTGAGAAAGTCTTCTTGTAGTAATACAGAATTGTGTATTTTGGATCAGATGCTAGATGGGTAATTTCTCATCAAAAAGGAAAAAGAAAACATTTTGCAATAATTCCTTTCAAAAAGGAGGAAGTAATCTGCATATAAAAATACTTGACAAATAAAGTGACTCTTTGTCCTAAAAATTTTTAGATAAACTTTATTATAAAGGAGAAGCCTAATGAACATAGTCTTATTTTTGTTTGGTATGTTTAATTTTCATTTATCTGACTTTCTCATTTAGGCTTTATTCCTTATCAGTTAACACGCTCAAACATGTTTACTGGAATTAAATAAAATTTGACATAAAGCATATTTGCCTCAAGTTTTCTCCATGCAGTTTTAATATACAAAGTACAAAAGTGGCTCAGTATTACAAATTGGGCAGTTCTAACTCTAAGCCATAGC